ACTGCTCATCTGATAGCATAAGCATACAGCTAGTCTGTGGTATCATTGAGAGAGAGAGAGAGAGAGAGAGAGAGAGAGAGAGAGAGAGAGAGAGAGAGAGCGAGCGAGGGGGGGAGGGAGGGAGGGAGGGAGGGAGATCTTCCTAAATCAATTATTCACTGAGAATGTGAGACAAAGTAGGTTACTAATTCTCAGTCATGTGGTGCTCATGTTAGATTCTAGGACTATTAGCTCTCAAGCACAAGACCAAACCAAACCTGCTCTGTTTGCAAGCTCGTCTCCCCATTTATGCATATGAACAATACTAGTATCTATTGCAAAATAATTTTTATAAGAGTCAGGCATACAATTCTTGATACGTAAAAGAACTTAGCACTTTTTATTTACCCTAACTGCCCTATACCTTTTTTTTTGTAGCAAATCTCATGTTACACATTGTATATTTAATTATTATTTTTATTGTCTGTTGTGCCCCACTAAAATGTAAGTTCCATGAAGGAATGTATTGCTACCTAGTTTTTCTATGACTTGTTCTAAAGAACACTACACACACACACACACACACAAAGCACACACACAAACTTAATGAGACTGCCTTATACTATTCAAAGTAAAAATAGATAGAGATACTACTTTACTCATGACCAAATGTTTCTGTGGAATCAAAATAAGAGACTCTTTATCCCAGTCAACACCGAGCATCAATGTCTGTCATAAATTGATGACTGATTATTTAAAAAAAGAGAAAACTCTGTCATACCTAGAGAAAGTACTTTGATTCTATAATTTAAAAAGAAATGAAAGTTGAAACCTACGTAAATCTATAAAAAAAAAAATGGGTTCCCTCCCAGATATATAAACTTAAGTAACATAAGTAAATAACTGGGCCTTACACACACACACACACACACACACACACACACACACACACACACACATATTTTTCCAAATGCAACTGAGATGGAGAGGTGGCACACCCAGGTTCCTGCAGCACTGAATTCACAGCACTAGAAAGCATTTACGGAGGAACTGTGCATCAGAAGTGGGAGGACACGTATTAGTCCCTGAGTGAACCAGCTCATTCGACTCATACGCCAGTTTTGATTTTGAGTGGCTACATCTGCCAACTACTGTGTCACAGCTCTAGCTTCACCTGAGAATGCTGGTGACCTTTGACTCCTTTCACTATGAGATGTTCAGTTTGTCCTTATTATATTAAGTAAGAGATAAGACATTAGAGACTAATACAGTGATTTTCTTAGAGAGCTATGAGTAAAGTCCTTCTAAAATTCCTTTTTAGTTTGAAATTTTAAAAAGCTGTGTAAATGGTAACATTTGGAAGATTTATCACTTCAACCTCAACCAGGATGCTATTTTTTGTATCATGAAGATAACTATATAAAAGAAAAGTTAGTCACACAGAATGCCTACTTAAGAATCCATCCTGCTTCATTTAAATTTTTTTTCGATGGAGGTCAGTTTTTAATGAGCTTTCTTTCCCCTAATAGTAGAATTATGTCATATAAAACCATAATACTAGTCTTTAAAGAAAAAAGAAAAAAGATAGTGATAAAATTATATTCTGCTATATTCATAGATCAGGGTCTTGCTCAGCTACCTATCAGAGAAGCTTCCTCCTGCAGCAGATGCAAAAAATACAGAGACCCACAGCCAAACATTATAAAAAGTGAGAGACCTTGGAACACTCAACCATAAATGGAATGTCTCCATCAAATCCCTCCCCAGAGCTCAGGCAGTCTCATGGAGGAGGAGATGGAAAGAGTACATGAGCCAGAGAGGATGGACGACACCAAGAAAAGAAGGCCCTCTCTGACCAACAGGAGCAAAGCTCACATGAATAACAAATTAGTAAAAGAAAACCACAATGCAAGCCAAACATTATTTACAATACAAACTACATTATATATCTACATAGGTTATAATGCTAAGGGAAGTATATAGATAAAAGCAAACACACTGTATAGGACAATATTCTTTGGATCTAGAAGATGTAAATAATCTTGACATAACCTTAATAATATTATTGGTTAAAACAAAAGATCTTCAATATATAGAGTATTCGTATCCCTGAGGCAACTTCATCAAGAAAGAACATTTCCCATGTATGCTATATAAAATTCATGTAAAAATAAGCATTAATATTTGTGCATAAAAATGTTGATCCACCAACATCAATGTGGTATGTAATTTAAACCACATAGTTAAGAATATGCCGACCGACCGTTAAGACAGAGTGGTAAGTAAATCTGAGTGTCCTCACAAGCACACAGGCATGGCTCTGCAGTGCTGATCAATGGGAACTGGCTTTAAAGAAAAAGACAGAATAGCAGCAGCATATTGTTTAAATGACATGGCAAAGGCTGAAATCGTCTGCACCAAGACGATTTTTTTCTCCCAGTTTTTCCAGCTGTTCTCTTCCAATTAAGTACTCTTCATTTCAAATACACTTAATTAGTTCCATTGATCATAGCCCACACTTAGGAGGCTTTCCCTGTGCTTCCTCACGTCTGTGAGGCAAACACTAACAACAGCCAGTAGGTTCGGCTTTAACTGTCCTAAAACAACACCCATACCTCATTCATTCTCAGCCAAAATGATCATTTCAGAGATAAATGTCCTGCTTTTAGCAAAATAGGAAATTATATTTTGCATTTCAACTGATAAATGGTCAAATTACTTATAAGAATAACTCTCAGATACATACAACAAAAATAAAATTAAATAGCTACCCACATTAACCTAACTACATCCAATTATGTCATGACATAATTTCTAGGTATTTTATGAAAAGGTATTATTAGTGATTCCTTTAAAATAAGAAAAGACATTAATTGAGCTTTATTTCACAGCTATTGGAGAGCCTTTGTCTTGCAGTACTGGGACTAGACAATGCTGCTCATCCCAAAATAAGACTGTGCTCAAAACGGGTTTTTCTCGACGCATCTACCATATTTTTCATAATGCAATTTATATAGGATTCCAGTCAATAAAAAGAAATATGGTTTTCTTCTAAACTGTCACAAAAATCTATAACACAGCTTAATCAAGTCACACAGTCTAAAGGCAACCTGAACGATCAACAGACGGTAGCATGCTTGCTGATCTGACAACATGTTAACGAAGGCATTTTTGGTTATTTAAAGTCTTTGGATATTGAACAATCTTGCTTCTAGTACCCATGGTATGAAATAAATAAATCAACTGACAAATGCCATTTGTCACACATGTTTATCCAAATTAAACAGATTAAAATACATGGTGGGCAGCACAGATTAATTCTCCAAATGAGACTTACATTAAAAACTACATTACACTTGTAAGAATATAGTCAGAAGCTTTGATACAACCTCATGAGTTTATAACTGGGTTATTTAAATTTTTAATTAATTTCTTAAAATTTATTTGATCACTATGATCTTTATTCAAGAATATTCACTGATATGTTTTACTACTGTAAAGTTCTCCTTTGACCGAAATTAAAGAACTTTTTACAATGAAGGTCTTTAGCTTTCTAACTTAAGATAGAACATATCCATAGCACTGTTTTTAAAAAGCAATAAAAAGAAGCTAAAAAGTATCTTCTTACTTAAAAAGCATCTGCAGATGAATGCTTTTCTTTGGCTGCTGTTGAAATGAACTGTATTGTTAAATGATTTCTGAAAAATTGGAGGTTCCTAACAGCATTTATATTTAAATCAGATGATGTTCTCACCAGAAGACTTACATGTTAAAAACAGTTGGTAATCCAATCCCAAATATATATGTTACCCAGAATTATACATGTATAAGTAACATTATAGACTAAGCAGGTTCTAATTGTATATTTAGGAATATATATTCATATATTCCCACATATATGCATAGGTGTGTGTATGCATGTATATATGTAACAGAGAAGAAGCCAGGAATTTGAAAGGGGACAAGTGGGAGACATTGGAGGGAAGAAAACAAAGGGGGAAATGGTTACAATTCTAATTTCAAAGAATAAAAATTTGTATTCAAAAGTAACAAGGAAGTACCATCATTTCATCTCATTGGAAAATCTGTTGTTCTCCTCTTTAGGCAAAACTTATTCACAGTTACTGCCTAAGGGCACAGCTCTAAAGCATAAGCTTTTCAATTATCGAAGGAAAACACTGGGCTCTCTCAGCTTCCTCCCAGCTAAAGGCATTTAGGTGGAAATAGTAATAGACTTGCTACATATTGCTATGAAAGAAAGACCGTTCTACTTTCAATTTTTTTTTTGTCAAAAAATTTACTCTTATTTTCTGATCATTTTTTTTTGGTTTTATTATTCACTTTTAATAATAATTAGAGATTTTAGAAACATTTTCAAATACTTTTATCCATCTGAATACAAACAACCAACCAAAACAAAAAACAAAAACAAACAAAAAAACACTTTAATTTCAATAAAACTATCCAGTCTGTTTTTATCAGTACATTCAAAGATATTGAGCACAATGAATGTAGAGATTCTGCAAATAAAATTAGTCAAAATGGTTCAAAGACAGGATAAATATGTCATCTGTGAACTCTGGTTCCATGATAGGCAACACAGGGAAGAGTCTCTGATCGCCACTCAAAGTCGATAACTTTAGAAAAGCAGCATTCACTGCTTAATTTTCAGTGTAAAGAATCTACGTGGCATTTCTTCTGTAGCCTATACTACATAAATTGTCACCATAGCATAATTATTCTTGAATTCGACCTTATAATTGCAGAGCCTTTCACAGCCTAATGGACATGTATATTCTTCTACATGTTCAAAGTTTTAGTAGAGATCCTAATTTTACAATTAGAAGACTTCCAAAAAAGGAAATGTCCTGCTCACAGGCTCACTGTTACAATGACATGTGCCACCCTGGAGATTCCTGCCTTCCTTCCCTCACAAGATACAACCCCAATAAATGACTTAGAAGACAGTTTGAAACACTGATGTGAGCTCCAACACATTCTATTACTTTGCCCAGGCTTACCAGTAGTGATGTCATCATCCACGAGGTCATGCTCTTCTTCCTGGACTTTGGCTTCTGGCCCTGACGCATCTGGAGCAGCTGCCATAGTCTGCATGGCTTCTGCCGTGACTCCAGCTAAAAAGGTAAGAGTGACAAGATTTACTTTACAAAATGAAAGAGGCAGAAGAAACCTGTAAAGCTTTCACTTACTCAAAAGGTAGCATTTGACAATGTATAATAAAAAATAAAAGAATAAGTACCCACTTCTGCTCTGTTTAATTATAAGGGTGAACGCTGCATAGGTATATCCTGTATTAAGTTTTAATCAACATCGAGGAAAATCAGACACAAAATGTTGATGTAAATTATTTTTTTATTTGGTTTCTTTCACCAACACTTGCTACACTTATGTTACCTGATTTAGACAGACTAATGCAGCAATCAGACAAAAAAAACATAAAGTGAGAACCAAGTGAAAGGTGTTAATATGTTCATATGTGCGGAAGGCAGGCAGGTGAGGACGAAGGAGGAGTGCACTTGGAGACACACACTGCCTCCAAAGAAAACCATTTCCTGCTATAGAAGACTCAGAGGTGAGGAACATAATTATCATACTGAACAGTGTCCGTTCTGCTAGTTCACACTGGTGTCTTTTTCCTCCATAACCTTGTCTCTCTCAAGATATATTCTGGTGTTACTCTGCATTTACCGTATTATTTCTAAGCTGGCAGTGGAAAGTAGACTGTAGAGTGTTTTCTATTATTATCACCAGTCCATCATGGTTACTATAGGAGTAGAAATGTCTCATCAAGTTTTTAAAGAAGTAGTGTTAACATTTGCTTAAAGAGCAGCCACCTAAATGTTTTCAAACTAAATGCTATAGATACTGAGGGATTTCTTTTCTTCTAAGGTACATTGCCTTCCAGTTTCCCAGGTTTATCAAAGGCACTCAGAGAGAAAGAGGCCTTAACTTATTCACCACTGTGAGTTAGGTTAAACTGAACCCATTCGTAGGTGACCACAGACCTAAAGATTGACTATGGAAAGCAGAATACCATTGTGGTAGCATCAGTTAATCAGAGATGCTTTAAAGGGTGGGGAAGAAGGGAAGAAGCAAAGGAGGTAAATAACTAAGGGAAAGAAAAAGGCAGCAGTAATACCAGAAAATAGTCCACAGTGAACAGAAAATGATGCTGTTACCACTCTACAGAGTATATTTATTGTTGAGTTCAAAAGATCAATTTTAGCATGAAGGAAAGCTTTATTATAAAATTATTAATTACTTAATCAACACTATCTACCTGAGAAATAAACTCAAAGAGAAGGGGGTAAAAAGAAAAAAAAACACATTCCTAAAAGGACACATTGTTCAAATGATTTAAAAAAAATCAAAGATCATCTTTTATATAAGTGAATTAAAATATAACCTTTGAGGTCTCATTCTCATTTTGTTTTGCTAACAGTCAGGCATTCTGAAAACAATCAGAGAAACTGGAATAAAGATATTTAAACAACCAATCTGGACGGTGATGATCACTAGCATTTTCCTTTCCTATGAAATTAAGAGATTCAATGAAAGTGAAAGTTGTGGCTTATAAGTAACCCATTTCTATTCATCCTACTTGACCAGCGAGGCCAAGTGCTCAGCGTAACAGTGCTGCTAGGTTCCCCACCTTCTGACCTGACGACATCCCACATCATTTCATCACAACGTTTGCTTAGAAAGTGAGTTCTTGGGACAAGGAGGGCAGTATTTCAGAACAGCACAGCACAGCCATGAAGACTCAGACTCACACAACACAGTGTGAATGCTGTCAAGTCTTCCACAGAGCTCCAGAGCTGCGTAAGGCATTCATTCCACTGAAGACATTCAGGATTGTAGGCAGAGTTTAAAGAGCGAACACATACATCTCAATGGAACTGAGGTCAAAAGACCAAAATCTTACATTGTTCTTTGATGGATGTGTTTCAGAAAAAAGGGGTATAAAACTTGGAATAAAACCAAACACTAATATACCTCATGAATAGAATGTGAAATATCCTTAATGAAATATTAACAAATAGGGGTTAGGCATAATAGTGAATGCCTTTAGTCCCAGTTCTCAGGAAACAGATGGATCTCTGTGAGTTGGAGGCGAGGCTGGTCTACATAGAAAGTTCAAGAGCAGTCAAGCTACATAGTTAGAGATCCTATCTCAATAATTATAATGATAATGATGATAAAATAGTAATAATAATAATAAGGGAGGAAGGAAGGGAAACTAGGTGATAAATTAAACAAGTAAGTGTGCAATATTTGGAAAGGTTTATATAATGTGGGTAAGAAGAATTTACCTTGGGGATTCAAATCTGGCTCAGTTTAAAAAGCTAGACAGTGTAAACCAAAGAGTGAGCTAAACAAAATCAAGAGATCATAGTAATTATTTGACAATTGACATATCCTTAAAGATGAATTTTTGAAACTATAAGAAAATCAGAAATTGAGGAGAACTTCTTCAACTTGTAAGATGTCTAGGAAAATCTGCAGCTGACATTTATATTTAATGAAGGAAATCCAATCCTGTTCACTCTACAATCAGGAATGCACAAAGATTACTCTCTGACCATACTTGCCTACTTAACAATATAAGAAAACTCTACCAAATACCAAAACAGAAGATGAAATACATGCACTTTGAAAAGAACAATGCAAACTGCTCCCGTGTGGGATCATTTTAGGTGCTGACTTGACTGAGTTCATGTACAGGTAGCTCTTAAGCTGCCTGGGCTTTCAGACTTAGAGCCCTAACATTGACATTTTTTCCAGAGCTTCTGCCTGCACATCACCTATTGTGAGACTTCGCCTATTTGATTGCATGAACCAATTCCTCTTAGTTAATCACCCCTCATCCACCTACCTACCTATTCATCCATCCATCCATCACCCACTTATTGATCCTGGCTCTGTCTCTCCAAAGAACACGGACTATGCATACTATTCAAGGATAAAATAATTGCCCATGTAAAAAATTCCAAAAGACAACTACAAGAATTAGTATTAGGAAGAAAAGATAAAACTTGAATCACTGTTACTACCAACGGCCCTACCTTGAAGCCTCTTTCTGAAAGACTATAAATTCTACCCCAGCCTCCTCCCTCTGACACATTCTAATTTCATGGCTATTCTCATACAAACTTCCCCTCCTCTCCCTCTCCTTCTCCCTTGCGCTCCCTCTCTCTCTCTCTCTCTCTCTCTCTCTCTCTCTCTCTCTCTCTCTCTCTCTCTCGTGTGTGTGTGTGTGTGTGTGTGTGTGTGTGTGTGAGAGAGAGAGAGAGAGAGAGAGAGAGAGAGAGAGAGAGAGAGAGAGAGAG